TCTGTCTCCTTTCTGTCTCCTTATTGCCTCCCTTCTGTCTCTTTCATTGTCTCCTTTTGATCTCATTTATTGTCTCCTTATTGTCTCTTTTATTGTCTCCTTTACTGTCTCCTTTATTGTCTCCTTATTGTCTCTTTTATTGTCTCTTTTTTCTCTTTTTCTTTGACTCCTTTTTGTCTCCTTTGTCTCCTCTCTTTGTCTCCCTGTCTGTCTCCTCTCTCTGTCTCTTTATTTGTCTCCTCTGTCTCCTCTGTCTCCTTTCTTTGTCTTTTTATTTGTCTCCTTTCTTTGTCTTTTTATTTGTCTTCTTTCTGTGTCTCCTCTGTCTCCTCTGTCTCCTTTCTTTGTCTTTTTGTTTGTCTCCTTTCTTTGTCTTTTTATTTGTCTCCTTTCTTTGTCTTTTTGTTTGTCTCCTCTGTCTCCTTTTGTGTCTCCTCTCTGTCTCCTCTCTCTGTCTCCTTTTTATCTTTTGTCTCTTCTCTGTCTCCTTTCTCTCCTCGTCCTCGCACTTCTGTCTCTCTTCAATAATAAATAAATTTAATTGTCTCCTTTTAATAAATAAATTTAATTGTCTCCTTTTAATGAACAAATTAGACTGTCTCCTTTTATTTAATAAGCAATAAATTAAACTGTCTCCTTTTATTTAATAAGCAATAAATTAAACTGTCTCCTTTTACTAAATTTGTTTGTCTCCTTTTTGTTTGTTCTGCATGCAGAGTGGCGATGGACAGTCAGCTGCTGCTTTGGGACACGAGACATCTAGACGCCCCTATTAAACGAATTGTTTATGAGTAAGGGTTTAGGGTTTAGGGTTTAGGGTTTAGGGTCTAGGGTTTAGGGTTTAGGGTTTAAGGTTAGGGAGCTGCAGCAGTAGATACTACTGGGCCTGCTGTAACAGCAACAGCAACAGTAGCAGCAATAGAAGCAGCAGCAACAGCAACAGTAGCAGCAATAGAAGCAGCAGCAGCAGCAACAGTAGCAGCAGCAACGCCAACAACAACGGAAGCAGAAGCACACCCAACTGCAGCAGCAATAACAGCAGCAGCAGCAGCAGCAGTAGCAGCAGCAGCAGAATTTGTTTGTGTTTGTGCTCAGTCATCCTCCTACAAGTCTGCGAGTTAGTAGAGACGGCAGCAGAGTTGCTGTTGGAAGCTACGACTCTGTGCTTCGGGTGTATACGCTACCTAACCTGGAGTGTATAGCCAGCTATATGGATATGGGCCTGCTGTAACAGCAACAGCAACAGTAGCAGCAATAGAAGCAGCAGCAACAGCAACAGTAACAGCAATAGAAGCAGCAGCAGCAGCAACAGTAGCAGCAGCAACACCAACAACAACGGAAGCAGAAGCACACCCAACTGCAGCAGCAATAACAGCAGCAGCAGCAGCAGCAGTAGCAGCAGCAGCAGAATTTGTTTGTGTTTGTGCTCAGTCATCCTCCTACAAGTCTGCGAGTTAGTAGAGACGGCAGCAGAGTTGCTGTTGGAAGCTACGACTCTGTGCTTCGGGTGTATACGCTACCTAACCTGGAGTGTATAGCCAGCTATATGGATATGCAAATGGTCATACCCCACATGTAAGCCCTCCTCCTGCTCCTGCTGCTGCTGCTAGTGCTGCTGCTGCTGCTAGTGCTGCTGCTGCTGCTAGTGCTGCTGCTGCTGCTGCTGCTGCTAGTGTTGCTGTTGTCTTGCTGCTGTTCTTGTTGGTGCTCCTGTTGGTGCCCTTGCTGCTGTTGCTGCTGCTCTTGCCACCACTGCTGCTGCTGCTGCTGCTCCTGCTGCTCTTCATCCTTCTCTTCCCCTTGTGCAATACTCATGTTGCGACGTCTCCCTGCTGCTGCTGCTGCTGCTGCTGCTGCAGTACCTGGCGAAGCACTCATGACTGTTTGGCTTACAACGTCTTTCAAATGGGGAAGACAATAGTCTTGAAGCCCCCCTCAGGAAGAACAAAGCAGCAACAGGAAACGCAGCAGCAGCAAGAGCAGCAGCAACAGCAGCAGCAGCAGCAGCAGCAAGAGCAGCAGCAGCAGCAGCAGCAGCTAATGTATTACTAGACACCGGCTGCTCCAACGGTGACGCAGCAGCAGCAATAGCAGCAGCAATAGCAGAAGCAGTAGCAGCAGCAGCAGCAGCAGCCGCAGCAAAGGCGCAGCATTTAGTCTCGCTGTTGCTGCTGCTGCTGCTGCTGCTGCTGCTGCTGCAGGCAATGCATGCAGCTCCCGTTGTCTTTGCTTTCCCCAGTTCAGTTGGGGTATAGACAAAGTAAAACTTCATTTAGAGACATCCGCCAAGCTGATACCCTTCCTTCACCCTCAGCAGCTAGCTAGCTAGCTAGCTAGTTAGCCAGATAGATAGATAGCTAGCTAGTTAGCTAGCTAGATAGATAAATCGCTAGCTAGATAGGTAGACAGATAGGTAGATAGATAGATAGATAGATAGATAGATAGATAAATCGCTAGCTAGATAGGTAGATAGATAGGTAGATAGATAGATAGATAGATAAAGATAGATATTAATATATAGACAAGGGCATTGCTAGCTAGCTAGGCAATAGGCCTGTGAACGATGAAGGCAGCAGCAGCAGCAGCAGCAGCAGCGACCACAACAGCAGGAGTTGTGTCTGCTGAAGCCTCCTTTGTTTGTATTTGTTTATTTTTTGTTTATTTTTTGTTTATTTGTTTTGTTTGGCTTTAAGCCCAGCAGCATCCCCCTGTTATTACTTCGAGTGTATGTACACCTCAGCAAACAATTACGAGAAAGAAAGACAGACCTTTAATGCAGCTCCTCCTAAACCCCTAATCTGCTGCTGCAGCTGAGGCAGCTACAGCTAGCTACATAGCTAGCTACAGCTAGCTACAGCTATCAGCTGGGCTGCTAGTTGAAACTAGCTAGCAACGGCTAGCTATAGCTATCTGGCTAGCTAGCTACACCTAACTACAGCTAGATGTAGCTAGCTAGCTGCAGGTAGCTACAGCTAGCTAGCTATATCTAGCTAGCCTTGTACTGGGGAGATGATGGTAGAGCAAAGAGAGACTTCAAGGGAGGCGGATGCAACCTCCTCTAGGGTTTAGGGTTTAGGGTTTAGGGTTTGGGGTTTAGGAGCTAGGGTTTAGGGAGTTTAGGGTTTGAGGTCTATGATTCAGTGTTTGATGTTTAGTTTGTTGTCCGCGCCGATCGGGGTTTAGGGTTTGATGTTTATTTTCTATTGCTTAGGGTTTAGGGTTTAGGGTTTAGTGTTTAAGGTTTGAGGTGTTGGGTTTAGAGTTTAGTGCTTATGTTTTAGGATCCTCGTTCCTGGATTAGGGTTTAGGGTTTAGGGTTTAGGGTTTAGGGTTTAGGGTTTAGGGTTTCGATGTTTGCTGTCGAGTGTCCCTCTCTATCCCTCACCGCCTTGTTG